TGTATATGTATATGTATATGTATATGTATATGTATATGTATATGTATATGTATATGTATATGTATATGTATATGTATATGTATATGTATATTGTAGATATCTCCAGCATAAGAAATACAAAATCAACATGAACATGCTGGACATATTGGAAAAAGTAATTTTTGTAATGTTGATTTATTTGTGAGATCTATCTCCTACCTTTCCATGAAGAGTTCAAGGGATATACTTAGCATTCTGTTTTTCCAGGAATAACAAACCTGTTGAAAGAAAGCCACTGGCCTACAGTTACTCTGTGAGCTTCCCTGGCCAAGGATGGACTCGAACTTGGATCTTCTCAGTCCCAATCCAACACATAAATTACTATACAACCACACACTTTTGTTCTAACTTAGCTCCCCAAACACAATAAACCCTCTGTATTTAAATCAATGATTTCTTTATTAGGAGTGCCAGCAGCCCTGGCAAAAACTTTATCTCTCAATACAGGTTAATAAGTCTGTCCGGCAGGGAGATGAATAGTTGTCTGCCACATCTATTCATCTCCGCCCCCTGCCTTTTATCCCCAGAGCTAGGGTGGGGCTTCGCTAGCAGCGGTGGTTCTTCTGTCCCAAGGATTGGCACAGATTTCCACTGCTCTCCTCTCCCCTGCCTTTTGCACATCCATGAGGCAGGCACTGGACTCAGCTGTTCCTCCTCTTCCTCATCAGCCACCTTCAGACCTGGGGGCTGTTGACTCTCCATGTGAGGGCTGATGGACGACCCAGGCTCCACTTCTGTCTGTCTGTCTGTCTCTCTCTGATAGCTCCATTCCCTCTTTCCTCAGAGCTCTCAAGTTGCCTTGATGCTGACTAGGGGTGGGCTCCTGTACTGGTTGGTACCGATTCGCTTTGCATGCGTGCTGCTTGCTTCACTCGTGAATGCTCTGCACATTGCTCGCGCATGCACAGTTGACCATAAATTGTTCTGCACATGCACAGAAACATGTTGGAAATGGCAGAAGAGACTGGACAACTGGTATGGGGGGATGGCCAGCCTGGGTCATTGCCGGTTCTGTGACCCAGGCCAAATCATCACTATCAGTTCCGCCGAACCAGGCCAAACTGGGAGCAACCCACCTCTGATGCTGACCCTGACTCGCACGCCTCCTCCTCATTTGATTTGGCTGCTGGAGGGGTTGATTTCCCCAGGCTTATGATCCTGGGGGATTTCAATCTGCCTTCCATTGGCGAGACATC